AAAAAGATTATTTCCCCTAAAAAGCCATGTTGCATATAGAAAATCCTCAAAAATATGAAAAGTTGCAAGAAAATTTAGTGACTACTGACCTGTTTTAGAAAATAATCATAAAATGCTTTAGATTAAGGTTTATGATTTAAAAATAAAACACCACCAAAACTTTATAAGAAAATGTGCATTATTTTCATTCTCCCATTGGCTCTCAGTGTCCTACATTTCCTAGGGAGAAAATGCTTAACACAACTTGGAACTCCTTGACTAATTAACTAGTTAAATCTATGGTGTGGAAAATGGCACCTTTACGAAGCTAATGAATTAGTCTCTAGGTAACACCGGGGCCCAGAACTTTGAGGTTTGCTATAAATCACAGCATCTGCTGCAATTCTGCATCATGCACACAGGATGGAAATGGTTTTTTCTTAACTGATAAACTGGCACTGAGCTAATTGGCTAAAGTATCTCTTTAAGGTCTTTAACTAATTATGTCTTAATATATGAAACATGAAATTATTTTTCTATAAATTATGCCATTATATAAATAATATATACATAATTATATAATTGTACAGTATGTTATTCATATTATATAATATGTTATATTTATTTTATATGTAATTTGAAGACAAACTTTGCCACACCTTGGTTGGAAAAAGGATGAACTTGGGAAGAAAATGTAAAATATCAGATGCTTATAAGCTACTGTCATTAAAATGTGTAAGATAGAAAAAAGCTATAAAGGGAAATACGGACAGAGCATGATCTGTGTTTAAAAATCACACATCAGACTGGGCACAGTGGCTCACTCCTGGAATCTCAGCACTTTGGGAGGCCAAGGCAGGAGGATCACTTGAGGCCAGGGGTTTGATACCAACCTGAGCAACATAGAGAGACCCCATCACAAAAAAAAAAACAAGAAAAATTAGCTGGGTGTGGTGGTGCACACCTGTAGTCCCAGCTACTCAGGTGGCTGAGACAGGAGGACTGCTTGAGCCCAGGAGTTCGAGGTTGCAGTGACCTATGATTATGCCACTGCACTCCATTCTTGGTGGCAGAGTGAGATCCTGTCGCTACAAAAAAAGAGAAAGAAACATCAATTGTTGGATGACGGTTAATCTAATTGTGGAGCAGCAAAGACAAATTTATTTTGCTGTTTAACTCTACAGACAAGGGAGGTTGGAGCATTTGCACATCATCAAAACCAATAGGTCATGCTAATATCACTAACCTATGGGGGAAAAAAATCAAAAAGAAAAGAGAAGCAGTCCTGGGCTAAAACAAAAGCAAGAGAGAGAGCTTGCTTTATTGTGGCATGTTTTTAGTTACTGGTATGTACAGAATAACAAATTAAAAATTGATTATTTAGGTAAAAATTTGATGATAAAATTTATTTACTCTGGAAAGTGACTGGGGGCACTTTTAAAAATGGAGGAACTATCCCAAGATCTATGATGCGCTTTCTGGGTTTTGCTGTCTCCCGGGAGAGGGGAGGAAAGCAGCACAGCCCATCCGATGTCTGACTATTTCTACTGCATTATTGAATTTACAGCAATTCATGGGGAACACCCATCCCCCAGAAATGACCTTGCCCGATCTTACCACCTGCTGCCTGAACCCCATCTTCTGTGTGGGATTCGGTGCCAGACACCCAGCCAACCCTGTAGGGTGGGATCATGTCTTCACCTATAGCCTGTACTCCCTCTGACAAGAGTTCTCTCCATTTCTGGAACATGCCTCTCTTTCACCCCCCAGCTGTTCCAGAGTGTTCTTTTTCCCCTCAAGACCCAGGTCCTGTCAGATCCTCAGTGATACCTTCTCCAGGTGCCTGAGGGACAAATGGCCACCCGTCTGAACTGCCGCTTCTCTTAGCTCACCTGTATGTAGACACCTAAGATGTGGAGCCTCCCTGTGAACCTGGCTGCCCCGTGCCCCGCTGCTCACAGTGCCCAGCACACAGATGGGAAAGGTTTGTACTGCACATTAATGACTGAAAAGAGGCAGGCTGCATACAGGTTCTAAATTGGTGTAATATTGGAAAAGATTTCAAAAATAATAATTTAAAGTATTTCCCACTCATTTCCTTACCATAATGTTTTTTTTTTTTACATTTAAGGTAGCCTGAGTTTGAATTATGGCATTCACAATTGGAAAGTTAATTATTTACATAATAATTGATATAGTACAGTGTTAAGAATTTTAATTATTTTAAAGCAGTGAATTTAGTTCTCTAAATGCACTCCCCACCCTTGGAGTGTTTCTTTTTGAGTTTCTCTGCAATCATGTCATGGAGGGTACATTATGTTGAGTGGAAATTCTGCCAGATTTCTTATTCCAAGATTGATTCAGGGTGTGTGTGTGTGTGTCAGGAGGTGGGGGTCATGAAAAGGTGGGGGGAAATACAGGGTGTAGACAAAAGGAACATCCCAGGGCAAGGTCCTGGGAAGGAGGGAGGCCAGGGCACATGTCCCTTTCAGGGGGACAATTCCATCCTGCACTTTTGTCCCCAGACGTCTCCACCTCATGCACCCACACAGACATCGCAGGGAGAGGGGTTCTCACCCTCTCTCCCTTTTTGTTTTTGAGTGAGGTGTGCACTAATTCAAAGGGCAGTCTTGCTACGTACTGGAAGTGGTAGTCTAATCTGTGTTTCAAGTCTCAGTACAGCATTTTTAACACAAATTATTCTAAATTGTAATGACATTAGTAACCAAAATTATTCTCCATGAAATGTTATGCTGTTGACTACTCGCCTTAGTGAATAAACTGTCCAGGAAACTCACCCAGGATGGTGCTCATGGAACATCATATTAAAACAAGCAAACAAAGTTTGAAATAGAACGTTTAACACGCTCACCTCCCACATCTGCCCCTAAATAATGGCTGAATTTTCCTTCCTTTGTGACTTCATGATTCATTCTTCACATTTCTGTAAACTGTCACACCGTTGTCATTTGTAACATGTTTTTTTAACTGGAAAAATATTATTTTAAGTATTGGGAGAATTTTCTATGGAGGAATCACGTAATAGTGCTACTCTGTGAACTACTGTATTATACAAACATGATTTATTCTATTATTAATCACTCAAAAGTTATTTTTAGAAAATAGAATATAAAACATTTTACTTTATATGCTTTTAAATCTAGTCATTAATTATTTCAAACAACCAGCATGTTCAACTCTTGTTTCTAGGGAAAACGTGACTTCCTGCCTTCTCATCTGCTCTGCCATTGTTCATTAAAATGTGCCAATTACCTTCATTAGGTGGATAAAAAGGTGGAAAATCCCCAGATACCAAGAGTTAGCAGCCTGTTCCTGGGGAGTCAATAGGCTTATTTTTCTTTTCCTCTTTTCATTTAAAAAATACTCATCTAGTGAAAGAGAAAGACTTCTCACTGCTGGCGAAAATATTTCCTAGTACTTCATTAAACCCAGTAATAGGATTAGTGTTTAAGTGATTAAGGTGGTATATAAGCCTTTACTTAGAAGAAAAGAAAATTTAATTAAGATGGCACACATAGAATTCAAGACACTAATAATTAACTGAATTAATTGTGATAGGTCTGTTAGAGGGCTGCGCAAATGTTAGGCAGTATTATGATTCCAGATACTAGATGCAACATTTCGGTAAGCTTTGGGGGTTATAAGTATGCAGGATGCCCTGCTGATGTAATACGTACAGAAGTAAAGCTATTCTATTCCACTTATTTTTATATTTCTACAAGCGCTCTGTATTGTTTCAGAAATTAGGAAACAAGCCATAATTCCTAGAACTTGCATTCCTGGTGACAGGCTATTTCATCAGAGCAAAAATGTCGTGCTCAGATTTGCCAACCAGCACGAGGCACAAGGAGAAGCGCCTCTGTGCCGCACACTTGACAGGCACTTTGGAACCTGCTCACGGCATTCTAAACTCTTACCCATTCGTAACATGTCTGAAAAATTACACGTGGAGCAGAACGTTTGATAAAAATATATTTAAAACAAGCAGGAAAAAATAGTTTTGGCCTTAAGGATAACTTTCATCATTCTTTTAACCAAGTAGAATTAAATTATATGTATAATGATTTCAAGTACCAACTCATAAAAGATGTGACAAATCGGGAAACAAAGAACAAGAGGACTCTTTTTTTTCAGAAAAATGTATTTGCAATTCAAATGTTCATATAAAAAGCATAAATTTTAAAAAGTTCATAGATGTTTGTTTTTAGAAGTGCTGTGGTTTCACCATTCATTGCAACTACATTCCGAAAGGTGCGGGGTGGTCCACACGGGATCATCTTATGCTTTTATCACACTGAAGTCACTCTCATCACAACCTCTCCCGAGCTGTTATCGTCTGACAGATCTTCATGGGGCCTCATCCGATTGAACAGATGCAATAACACGTATCCACACTGAAACCGGGGCGAGGTTAACTGGGTCGGGTGGACCAAGTTTCTGTTCCGCAGAGCTGTCAATGGCAACCACAAAGTCCTACTTGTGGAAGACTCTCCCCGGCTGCTTTCTTCGATGTCTGTGGCTTTGTCATAGTTTAATACATCCCAGTGCAAATTAACAGCTCGCCAGCGCTTAAAAACCCTGTAAACTGCAGCTCCTTCATGGACAATGAGACCTAGAATTTGAGGGAAAAGAAAAAAGACTAGTGATAATCAAAGGTCGGGAATGTTGTTTTGTAGACAAGTAAGGGATTCAAGAAATGTCAACTCTGTTATTCATCATCATTGAAGAACATGACATACTGTTTACCCAACTATTATGGCTAATGGTAAGCTGCTACCCATGTTACACAGGAATAATCTATACTTAAAGAATAAGGATACACTAACATGCAGAGAGTTAAGCTATCGTGGATATAATTACTTGCTCTGTGATGGTTCAGAATACGCCTTGGGCATTCACATCACCTTAGGAGAATCATTAGGTCCATTTACTGATTTAACATATATTTCTTGACTGCCTGTTGTGTGCCAAGCAAAATGTTAGGGGCTTGGACCCAGCTGGCAACTTAATTTAGGAAAGAGACAGGTTGCAGATGTTAAGAGGAAGTTGCCTCACACATCTGGAAGCCCGCACGAGCCAGACTGAGCAAGTAAGAGGAGTAGTGGAGCTGACATCAGAGGTAACTGGAGGCAGATCACGTAGGACCCTGCGGGACTTTACAAGGACACTGACTTCATTCCCAGTGCGATGGGACCTCATTAGCGGGTATCTGAGTAGAGGAGTGACGTGACAATTTATGTTCTAAAACCGTGATTCTTCTGCTCTGTTGAGTTAGAGACATTGCAGGTATTGAGGATGCCGTCTCCCAAGCTCCTAGAACAATGCCTCACACACAGTAGGAACAATATGACTTTCTGTTATTTGTGTTTTCCTCAAGAATTCAACAAAAACGTATTGAACAGCTACGTGAGAGCTTTATGTCAATCATCTCATGTGGTTCTCAGCACAGACTTATGAGGCAGGTGCTAGCATTTCCCCTGTTTCACAAACAAGGAGATGAAGCCACGGGGATGTGAAGGAACTTGCTTAAGAGCACACAACTAGTGGTGGGGGAGCAGGGATTTGAACTCAGCCAGGCTGGTTCCCAGATCCTTGCTCTTTGCTGCTACAAAGGGAATCGGATGATCACACGTTTCTGAGACACTCCCAGGAAAATAAATAAGGCGATATGAGAAACTCGGGGACTATAAACTGGTGGCCCATAAGTCAGGTATGATGCACTAGCACATGGGGCCCTCACCGTCCACCCCAGCCCTACCACACACCCTGCACTGTCACACGTTTACATTTCAGTGTGTGTTCCAAAAGCTTTTGAATGTGTGACCCTTCACACGAAACGAGTCCCTAGGGGAAGTCCCTCAGAGAGAGAGAAGTGAGGAAGGGCTCTTTTTTTGGAGAAGGTTGAAATTCCATGGAAATTCGGTGCAGAGGCCAAGGAAGAGCCCATTTTTGGTGAAGTAAGGCATGGGTAAGCAGAGCATGTCAGCTGACACAACCACTTTGCAATGATAAATTTGAAAATGAGCAGTTCCCACCTCTCAGCATTTAGACCTTTGGGTATATCTCCTAGAGAAGCTCTCACAAAGGTGAAAAAGGAAGCATGGTCAAAAACATTTATTACATCATTGTTTGTATTTGAGGAAAAAACTGCAAGTGATCTTAATGTCCATCCTCTGAAGAACAGAAAAATTGTAGAGCCAATGGACTGCAGCAATGAAACAAAAGGGAATAAAGTCATATGCATCAACATGGATACATTTCAAAACTATAATGAAAATATCAAAGTCACAATGAAAAAATGAAAGTTTCAAAAAGAAACTCCTGGAGTGGATAAATACTGTACATTTTTATGAATGCATATATATGGTAAACATATAAAAGCAGGCATGAGAACAATAACAGCTGAGTCATGACAGTGGGGAGGGAAGGACAGAGATGAGACCAAGGAGGGTCTTCAAAGAGGGATTTCAACTTTTATCTCAAATGTCACATCTTTCAAACTGGGTGGTGAAGGTATGGATGTTCAGCATATTGTTCTGTATGTGTTTTGTGCCTGAATAATTCAACAATTACAGGGAATTTATTAGGAAAGTTAATACAAGATGGATTGAGGAAGTCGTGGAGACAATGAAGGAGGCTCTCGACTTATATGTGACGAGCAGAGTAACGGTAAGGAGAGCACAGAGAAATAAAGCAATAAACTCAGAGGAAAAATTGATAGGAATTATAATGGAAGACGGGGGAAAATCAGAGTTCCATATATTTGAGGCTGGAGGAATGAGTGACTAAAAGGATGGTGGTAACCTTCCCATAGGTACAATGACTTAAGGGTTTTAAGCATGTTTTTGGGGGGGACATTATTTCATTTTTTTGTCAGTTAAAACAATAATAGGTAGGTAAGGGAGATACCAGTCCTTGAAGAATCACCCCAATCTCATTATCAAAACTCAAATTTTGCATAGCTCCCTTACCAGGAGATAAACTTCTGATTCATGTGACATAGAAGCACTCCAAAGATATCGACACAGGTCATTAAAAATGCATGTGGTCTAGCAAGTAAAAATGTATTAAGCATAATTATTGTACACCACCAAAATAATGAAGAAAAATGTAAACTTCTGTTAATCAGAACAATTTCAAATAAATGTTTAGATCTACTTCTTTTTCCAAAGGAATAATCTAAAGTTGACCTAACTGACCAGATATTTTCAGGAAACAGCCAGAATCAAAAGTTAGGACTACCAGATTTTAATTGGTGATTCTATTATTAGCTTTCTGAGTCTCCATGGCCATTGATTTAACCTTTTGGGTTCGATTTTTCCTCCTTAAAATGAAATTGGAATACCTAATCTTTACATTCACCCAGATAGTATGAAGATAAATTGGAATTCATCAACTATAAAGCACTCAGATTTCCTCTGAGATAGTAACTATATAAATACAAGACATTATTATTAATTAAAAAATCAATAGTGAATCTATGTGGTGAGGAGCATTCATTCACACTAATCACAAAACAATTACAGCCCAAGACAGGTTCATTCTGGGTAAGAGCAGAGATGGGGATGGGCAGGGAGAGCTTCACTGAGGGGGAAACCACTCATTTTGCAGGATCCTATTCTTTTTTATTGATTTCCTTTGCAAGGCCAGAAATCAGATCACTCACTAGAGCTTACAGTCGCTTTCTGGGAATATATTTCTGGTAGCTCTTTTCTAAATACATAAATCTACCCAATGTGCAGAAATAAATCCTGCAGGTCTTTATAGTATATTTTGAACTGAATTTAAAGAGAATTTCTTGAAGTTTTCATGAAGACATAATCCTCTTGAATTTCCAGCTCCATGGGCTGCTGCTTCTTAATTGCATTAAGTCGTGAATGATGATTAGACTTTGTTTTACTCCCCATGAGCATTTAAGAAGTCCTTGCCCTCTAGAAGCCTAAATTTTACTGTAATACAACGAACCCCATCCCACTTCCAAGGTAATGTGCATTTTTATCCTTTCTTCTTTAAAAGTTCTGGAGTTGTGGCAAATGCCTCTTGTAACCACTGGTTACAACCACTAGTTTTGTAACTCATGGTTACAAAAGGCACAGTGAGAAGATAGGGATGATGACCATTCAAGGGTAAGGACCCATTCAGCTCTGGCTCATCGTGTTGGAAATCCAGCTTTTAAAAGCCATGCTGCTCTACTTTCTCACTGATGGTCAAATGAATTTGTCACCTTGACATTTCAGGTCATATGAGAGCAGACTTGGATTTACTTTTTCATCTGACTCACTAAGCCTGAAGAGAAAAGCAATTATAATTTCTATAAAATGTAAGTATTAAATATTTTAGGATGCTTGCTACATTATTAATGGTATGAATGTCCACAAAGTGTGATTTATGGAAATTTGGAGAGTTGAGAAGTGTGCATGTGCACGTGTGGTTGGTTGGTTGGTTTTTGTCATTTTCTCCCCAGTAACATTTAATTGGAGCATCTTCTTATTGGTGTACAAAGGGACATTTTTGTTAGGGAATAATCTTGAAAAGCAAAGCAGGCTTAAATATTTTCTGGTTTCATTGAAATAAAAACAGTTTTTGTGTAAGTAAAATATATTCTAAATTTTGAAGTGGTGTGTTAGTTGAAGTTCTTTATAGTGGTGTAATCTGAGCTATTCACAGAAAGAAATGATGGGAATGCTACCAAGGTACGTGTAGTCACATTCCCGTGCACGCGCGCGCGCACACACACACACACACACACACACACACCCCATTTGTCTATGTTTACTTTAACACCTGAAGTGTTATAATTAACAGAGAATTGCAAAATTTATAATCAAATACAAACAAATTTTATCTTATATTAACCACCAAAGCACTGGTCAATTTCATCTCTTATGTTACCAGTCCCAGCTTTTGTTTGGATAGGTTTGGCTGTTTCTCATAATTTATAAGGTAAGTTTTTACCAAGGTTCTATTTTGTGACAAGCAGTGTGCTAAGAGCTTTACATGCATGATTTGCATTTAATCTGGAGAGCAACTCTAAAATTAGGTGGTATACTTGTACAATTGTACAATTGAGAAAATTGAGACCTAGAGAGATTTAACAACTTGTCCAACATCCTGAAGACATAAGAATTGGAGCTGAAACTGGAACCCAAATTTGTCTAAATGTAAACCTTGAGCACTACAGTCCTATCCAACCTAAATGTTCAAAGTACGGCAGTCTCTTCTAGCTAAAGAATGACCAACTAAAAGAGCTTAATATGGACTAAATATTTGTGCCCCCCCCCAATTCATATGTTGAAGCCCAAATCCCCAGTGTGACAGTGTTTGGAGGTGAGACTCTGGGAGGTAATCAAGGTTAGATGAGGTCATGAGGGTGGGCACCTCAAGACGGGATTAGTGCCCTTATAAAAAGAAAAAACATGAGATCTCTTCCTCTTTTTCTCTCTCTCTGTGTGCACACACCAAAGAAAGGCCACATGAGGGCCTAACGAGAAGACGGCTGTCCACAAACTAGAAAAAGAGCCTTCACCAGACACCAAAGATGCTGCTATTCACCTTGGGCTCCCCAGTTACAGAACTGGGAGAGATGATGTGTGCCACTTAAGCCACCCAGTT